TGGGCCTTCTCAGTCACGCCGCTCCTCGTCTGATGGAGGTGCTATCTGTTGTGCGCAACGTAATGCAGGCAGGACAGTCCATCCTTGCGGTTTGCTCACAGCCTCTGCCGTTGATCAAGTGCGATGTGTGCGATATCCTGGAAGCTGCGCGCTGCCGAGTCCCACGTGCGCCCATCGCGGCGCATGCCGATGATCTCACGCAGTGCGTCCAGGGTGCCGTGGAGGAAGTGACTCAGAAACTTGCGCCTGCTGCCCGTGATCTGTGTGGCATGTTGCAGAAGAGAGGATGTAAGATCTCGTCTAAGTCATGCGTGGTCGCCTCGTCTTTGAAAGGCGGTCGTCCTATCCAAGCGATGCGCGATAAGCTCGGTGCCCCTCTCAAAGCTGTTGGCGCGGTGAAAGACCTTGGAGTCGGAACCGCGGCTGGGCGCAGACGAACTGCGTGGAATATGGTGCAGCGCCGAGGAGAAGCGCAACGACGTGGTAAGACACTTGCCTTCCTTGCTCATGTCAGTCCTCGTGCGCGTAAACTTTTCAAGCCGGGGGTCGTTGCGGTTGGCGCGTGGGGCCACCAAGTCCTGGGCGCGCCCCCCTCGCACCTGCGCCGGCTTCGTGCGCGGGCTGCTAAGGCCTCAGGACGGTGGCACCACCCTTCTGGCGCTCGCCAGAGCTATGGTTGATGATCCTGCCTACAAGCTTCGCTGCGAACATCTGCTCGAATTGATGCGTACCTGGGGTGCCCTTGGTCCTAGCCGGCGCCAGACGGTGCCCGGAGTCTGGCCTTGCGTCCTTGCCGGGCTGCGCAATGTCCCTAAGGTCCACCGCTGGCGTCATGTTCGAGGGCCCCCCGGCGGCAGTCATCTTACGTTCGAGCTTGACGGTGGTCCTGCCGAGCCCCATGTTTGGTTTTTCCCGAACGTCACTCTTCAGGTGGACAGGCGCGATTTCCCTTTCCACCTGTGTGGGGTGGTTGAAACTCAGGAGGAGAAAAAACACACATACACAGTTAATTTTCGATCCCCCCAAAAATATGGGAAAATATGGGAAGGGGGGGGGAAGACAGAGACCCAGGAAATATGGGAAAATATGGGGAATCATTTTATTTGTGTGTATTTATTTGTGTGTCCTTGGGCCCCTTCAGAAAAGTACGTCGGGCAGGCCCTCTGGGGCCGAGCTGCCCCGGCCGCCGGGGGCCAAGGGCTGAGCACTGGAGTTGGACTCGCTGTCCTTCGGAACCTGAGGAAGGCCATGGGGCGTAGAGGTGACTGCGATGGAGTATCGTCAGGAGGGAAAGAAACACACAGACACAATTAATCGTCGACTCCCAGGAAAATATGGGAAGCGGGGGGGAAGTGGGGGGGAAGTGGGGGGGAAGTGGGGCGTAGAGGTGACTGCGATGGAGTACGTATCGATCCTGAGTCACCTCGCTGCTGGCGCGCAGTGGCCTGAGCAGCGCTTGAAAGATTCAGGTTGCGCCAATATGGGAATGTGTCCTCGGTGTGGTGTGCAGCCTGGAGGGCCTCGTCACAGGTTCTTGTAGTGTTCAAACAATGCCAATATTGACGACGCCGACCTCCGCCTCGCTGCTAGTATGTGCCGAGAAGCCCTGAACAATCCTTCTGAGGCTGAGTGTTACTGGACTCGCGGGTTGGTGCATCTTGGGTGGACCTTTGGAGTGTTCCCTGCCCCCGAGCAGAAGGCGTGGGCTTGGGGCTCCCTCCTTGAGGCGCTTCAGAGCAGTGGTAAGGCCCCTTGGGGTGTTTTTGGGTGCGATGGCTCTGGAGGGGGAGGGGCCCATGCCAAGGACTGGGGGCAACGGCGACGCGGGTGGTCCGTTGTGCACCTCCAACCAGGATCCCTCCAGGTGAGTGGTGCCCTCTGCGGTGCTCTCCCGGGACCTGCTCAACCGTCTCCTCGAGCGGAGGTTTATGCTCTTCGCCAACTTCTTCGCCCTGTGGACGGAGGTGCTATCTTGTTTGCCGATTGCCTCCCCATTGCGTGTGCCTGTCAAAAGGAGTGGAGCTCTGGTAGACCAGTCGTGCATGTTCGGCCTGTGGCAGCACGTATGGGACGCAATGGAGGAACGCCATGTAGTCTCGCAGTTCGGTGGACGAACGGCCATCCTACATGTCGCAACAACTGTGAACTCCGCCTGACCCCCCAGGATTTGTCGCCGACGGTGTCGCCGTCCACTTTGCGGGGGAAGTTGCCAGGTGGAGTGCCCTTCCTGAAGACAAGGTTCGGGCAGTTCAGACTGTGGATGCTAACTGTTTGTTGGTCCTCGAACGGTTACTAGCTGTCTCGCGACACATGTGTCTCACGTGCCCGCGAATTAGAGAGGACCGCAGTGGCGGGGGGCACCACCGTGAACGCGGTCCTAGAGCCTCGAACCATCGCAAAGAAAGGTTGAGAGCTCATTGCCATGACGTCGTGCAGGTTCTTGCTGTCTTTAAGTGCTCACGCTACCTCCGCCAATTGTCTGCTGTGCGAGGCGAGTTATTTAAGTTTTGGCCATGTGCGTGTCCTGGCGCGCTGGTGTTGGGATCCTCGGCTGTCTCGCAAGTTGGGCCCACCGCCAGTGCTGATCCTTCCCGGGGTAACCCGACGGCCCATCTGTGTTTTGGTCGAACGCATTTGTTTCATTTGCTCGCTGAATTTCGAGGAGTCCTATTGTGTCGATCGTGTGGGGCATGCGGTCCATCATGTGGAGAAGTCGGCCAACGAGTGTCCACCGAAGCCCACGGCCACAGGACTCCAACCTCTCGTGGTTGGCCAAGGGCAACACTCCGAAGACTGGCGTGTCTTGTCCCGCGCCCTGATGAGGTTGGTTTTCTTTTGAGGTCGACCCTAACTGGGGGCTGACCGCTTGGGGCTGTGCGTGCGCACAGGCGCCCCATATACCCCGAAACCCGAAATCCTCCTCCTCCTCCTCGTCCTCCTCCTCCTCCTCCTCCTCCCTTCTCCTCTTCCTCCTCCTCCTCTTCTTCCTCCTCCTCCTCCTCCTCCTCCCCCTCCCCCTCCTCCTCCTCCTCCTCCTCCTTCTCCTCCTCCTCCTCCTCCTCTTCCTCCTCCTCCTCCTCCTCCTCCTCCTCCTCCTCCATCCTCCTCCTCCTCCTCCTCCTCCTCTTCCTCCTACTCGATCTCCTCCTCCTCCTCCTCCTCCTCCTCCTCTTCCTTCTGTTCCCCTCCGTTGCCATTTTGGCTCAAGTGCTGAGGGCAGTGGCACGTTCGGGGGCGAACACACTTTACACCACTGTACTTTCCTTGAGTGGGCAGCCTCTCTCGAAGTGGCGATCCTGCGTGTCGTGCGCAGGCGGACACTTTCGATCCTCGCGTGAGCATTTTGCGGCGCGAGTCTTGCGATGGCGCTCACGAAGGAGCATCTTGATGAATGCTTTCGTCAGATGATGGAGAAAATGGGGAGCATGAATCAAGAGATGCAGACGGTTCGAGCGTCGGTCGCGGCGACGGATCAGAATGTTGCTGCTCTTGCTGCTCGTGTTTCAACGCTAGAGTCCTCTGCTTCGGCCTCTGTGGATGCTGCCTCTGAGGCGGCCATTCTCGCCAAGGTGGACGCTCGGCTCGCGCAGTTTAACGATGACCTCGAGACCACCACTGGCACAGGCTCGGTCGCAGGATCAAGCTGGTCGGGAGGCACTCACGGTCGGAAGCGCACTCGTCTGCTCGGTCAAGGCTCTGGACATCCTGGAGATGTTCGCAGCAGGATCGACGACGACGACTCGCTCAATGACAAGACCAAAGCATGGATTGGCGGGTTCCCTCGGAAGATGTTGGCCACAGTCTTGAAAGCGCATTGGGAGTCGATCAAGACGACGGCTACGACAGGTACCTCTACGCCTCCCATTCCGAAGATCTACTCGCTCGCTACCTCGTACTCCATCCAGTTCGCCAAGGCAGAGGAGTGCGAAGCCTTCGTCAGCTCTATTCGTGTGAATCCACTTCTGCTTCAGTGGGAGGATCCCAGGAACATGCAGACCGTTCAGCTCAAAGCTCGTCATGACCAAAGCCTTGGTACTAGAAAGAAGCAGCGCGTCATGGGGAAAATGTGGGAAGGAGTTTTGGCCGTTGTTAAGCGCAATGGCAAGTGGAACGCCGAGTTCAAGCTTGGCACGAACGGACCTCGTGGTTTGCTCTTCGTTCAGAACTCGATTGACTGCTGGGAGTTGTTCACGTTGGCGCCCTCTCAGACCACTGGCAAGATCGAGGTCAAGCCCGTCGTTGAGAACCTCATCGAGTGGGGTTTCGACGAGACCCAGTACAATCAGATCATCAGCGACGCCATGCAGCGCATCGAGGCCGAGGACACGCTGCGCACGGCCTGATGTAGGCCCAAGCAGTGCTGCTCTGAGTCCGGTCCTTTTGGCCCTCCCTCCCCTTCGTCGTCCTCGTCCTCCTCCTCCTCCTCCAGCTGTGATAGCGACAGTTCTGAGAGTTGCAGTCTTGGACCAAGGCCTTGTCGGGCACGCAGGCAGGTTTTAAGGCCCTCCAGCTCTCCGTCAGCCCCTGGCGCCTCCGATGTCCCCTTCTTTCCCTCCTCCTCCGTGCTCATCGTGACGTGGAATATCGCAACTTACTTCGCCAGCCCGCACTCTGATCGTCTCATTCGTAAACGCAAGCAGAGCAAGCTCAAGCACCTGACAAGCAAATATCACGTTATTATTCTGCAAGAAACGCACGGTGAGCGAGAAGATCTGGAGAATTTGAGGCGCGAGCATCCTGAGTTTAGAGTGTACGGATCTTTCTGCCCTTCGTCTTCTGCTGGGGGAATTGTTATCATGGTTGCCAAAAATCTCACCAAGACCTTCAAGGACATTTTGGAGCTTCCGATTATTTCTGGACGGGCCCTTCAGGTTACTCTTCGTGGGGCCTCTGGGTGTTTGCAGATCGTCGGGGTGCACCTTGACCCGAGTTTGTCTCCAGTGGGCAAGAGAAAGTTCCTAGACCAGGTTCATGCGCACGTTCTGCCGCCCAGTCGAGCGATGTGTATCCTGGCTGGAGATTTCAACTTCTATGCTGCTGGTGAGCAGCGAGAGTATCTGGCAGGTCACCTGTCCCAGCCTCAGGAGTCGTCCACGTACGGAGTTCGAGCTCACTTCGATGCTGTTTTCGCCAAGTTTTTAGAGGTCGAGCAGACAGAGCACACTCAGCATAAGTTGATTGACGGGGCTATTCAATCTGTTGCACGGCTTGATCGTATTTATCTCAGCTCTCCTACCTCTACTGTTATCGATCTTCGTCCTACTACCGGGGTGATCGGTTCTGCATATGCTCTGCCTGCTGCTAGCGACCATATACCTGTCTTTCTTGGGCTTCATCCTGCGGTTGGTCCATTTCCTCCTCGTATCCCTTCCTGGCTTTCTAAGCACCCGCTCTACTCCAAGCACATAGTTCAGCTCTTAGGCGAAACTCACCTGAGTCACGATCCTACCAGGGCTTTATATGAGTTCAAAGAAATCGCTTTCCTGGCTAAAGACAACACGTTGAAAGAACTTGAAGGACTAGGCCCTGTTCTAGAAGTTGAGAAGATCTCTTGGATGTTAGCTGCTGCCAGAGCCGTTCGAGGCAGGAGGCCTTGGGTGCTGTCGCGCGCCTGCCGCGCCTTCCCCAAGCTCTGCGAGTTTTTCAGCACCGACGCGTGCGAGCTTATCGACGCTGACGCCTTCCAGCAGTTTCTCACGGAGCTTAATCACGATTATATTGACAGGCTTTTGGGTGAGAATCAAGCCTCCTCCGAACCCCCCCCCAAGAAAAACGCCCGGAATACTGCTCTCCAGTCTCTCCAGGCTGCCTGGTCCCCTAAGCTCCGTCGGTTGTCGTTGGCCGCGGCTTTAGATTCTGATGGGAATCCTGCCGAGGATCCCACTGAAGCTGCCACCCTCCTTCAGGCGCACTGGTCTCGGGTTTTTGCTCCTAGGCGGGTCGAGCCCGACGCCCTGCAGGAGTATCTCCCCTTCGTGCAGGTGGCGCCGCAGTTGTCGAGCTGGACTCTCACATACCCCCAGTTCCAGGAATTAGTCGAGAAGCTTCACGATTCGGCCCCTGGTCCAGATGGAATCCCATACTCAGTGTGGAGAGCGCACGACAACTGCACTAGGATCCTCTACGACTTTTACCTTTACTTCCTCGCCTCCCAGCGGTTGCCTGACGATTTCAACGAAGCCCTCGGCGTCTTCCTACCAAAAGGGTCTCAACCTGGGGATGATATTCTGGTACGCAGAGAGGCTGACACGACTCGGCCGATCAGTCTGAGCAACTCCGACAACAAAATCATCTCCAAGGCGCTCAACTGTTTTCTTCGTGATATTGTTGAAATCACCGCTCATACTCAGCAGAGGGGTTTTGTTCGAGGGCGCCAAATTGTTGACAACCTGATTGAGATGGAAGCCCATGGCCTTGTCTGGGGCAGTGTGGAAGGCTTTGATAATGCTGGCGACGCGATGTTCGACATTGCGAGCGCCTTCCCTTCCATCTCGCACGTTTTCCTCTTTGCCATCCTGACTGCGATGCAGTTGCCTAGCTTTGTCATTGCCATGCTGCAGGCCCTCTACAGTAACATGACCATGCGCGTGGTCTTTCGTGGCAAGAGGTATGGTTTGATACAATGCCTGAGAGGAGTAAAACAAGGTTGTCCGCTTTCTGGGACGATTTGGGCCCTGGTTTTTGACCCGATCGTTCGTCGGATGGTTTTCGCTACTCGGGTTTCTCCCTCACGGCTTTGTGTCTTTGCTGACGACATAGGCGTTGTCGCTCGTGACCTCTTTCAGGTCTTCCCGCTGCTGATTCACGAGTTTGTATTAGCTGCTCGGGCGGCCAGCCTCTTCTTGAGTCTCGGGAAGACCGTCCTGGTGTTCTTTAAAGATATTCCTGCTGCTGAAGTTTTTCGGAGGCTTAAAGAAGTTGGAATTACCTGTAAGAAGTTCAAAATCGTTCGTTCTGGTCGGTATCTTGGGCTGTTCCTTGGAGTCCCTGGTCCTGAAGTTTCCTGGGATGGTCCGCTGGGCACCTTCAAAGGACGGGTTACGCACATCAAAAATCTTGGGCTTGGCTTTATCCCCAGCTTCGCGGCCTACAACTTGCTCGCGTTTCCCACGCTGATGTACGTGGGCCAGTTCTTGCCGCCGTCCCAAAAAGTACTCACAGCTGTTCGAGAGGCCCATCAGACCCTCACTAACGGTCCCCGTCATGCGTTCGCCCCCGCCCTGATCCAGCATGCCAAAGAAATCTTCATCGAAATTCAGCCCCGTCATCTTGAGATTGAATGCCGAGCCGCTGCCTTTCGAGTGGCCGAACGGAGCTCTGTTTTTGATAGTTGTCGTACCTTGTATGCCGAGGCCTGTGAATCTGATGAACATGTTCTTGTGCAGAGGTACCCCGAGTGGTACCAGAACTCGTTCTTCAATCACTTGCAGCGTGTGCATGACAGTCTCAATTCTATCCCCAACTTCTACAATCATGCCACGTCTGATCTTCAAGCTAAAGTTACGAAGTATCTTACTGCTGCTCAGCGCCTTCCTCCTATTACTATGTATCTAGGTGCCAGGCTGAAACACTTCGATCCCGAGCTCGAGCCGAAAGATGTTGACACCTGCTTCTTGCACCTTGGTATTATCTCTCGTCATCTTCCTCAGTTTGTTCTCATAGCTGTATTTCGTGCCATCTTCAACGGGTGGAGTACGACAGGCCGCTTTAAGCAAGGTCCCATCTGTTGTCGATTCGGCTGTCAAGCGGTTGGAGGAGACCACGTTCGTCACTATTTTGAGTGCCCCATGGCGATCCCCCCTCTCCAGGCCCTTCTGCCGTGCCTGCCCGACGATTTTCCGAGCATGAGTTTTCAGAATCGAATGTTGTTTCACAAGCGTTTGTTTTCCCATAGAGATCAGGTGTTGTCATTAGCTATTGCCGCCGATCTATTGCTGTCTTCCCACCACTCGCTTCGCTCGGCCGACCGCTTCGAGAGCCCACACCGTCTGATGACGGCCAGAGCCCGAGCCTTAGCCCGCCGCAGCGCTGGGGCAGCGAGGCTGCTGCGCTGACCAAGGACTGCGCTCTCTGGGGGCGGTTCCCTCCTCTTCCTTCTGTTCCCCCTCCTGCATCCCTATCCTCCTACTCCTCCTCCTCGTCCTCCCCCTCCCTAACCTCCTCCTCGTTTTCCTCCTCCTCCTCCTCCATCCTTCTCCTCCTCCTTCTCCCCCTCCTCCTCGTCCTCCTCCTCCCCCCCTCCCTATCCTCCCAATCCTCCTCCTCCTCCTCCTCCTCCTCCTCGTCCTCCCCTCCTCCTCGCCTCCTCCTCCTCCTCCTCCTCCTCCTCCTCCTCCTCCTCCTCCTCCTCCTCCTCCTCCTCCCCCTCCCCCTCCCCCTCCTCCTCCTCCTCCTCCTCCTCCTCCTCCTCCCCCTCCTTCTCCTCTCGATCACTGGTCGCCGTCGGTCGACGACCGCCGCTTGCCGTTGGGCCTCTGCCGCCGGTCGTGCGCCGAGACAGAGCCGCCGCACACCCGCAGCTGAACCCGACGGGCGCGAACGCCGCGGGCGGCTGGGAGCCGCGCGCGGCGGCGGCGGGCATCCGCCGGCTGGCCGCGGCGCTGCCCGACACGGAGCTCATCCTGCAGGCGGGCGCGGTGCCAGGATGAAGTCGGGCATGTCCCTCTACAGGAGGAATACTTTTAATCATCAAGCAATGGTCTGGGGACGATGTTGTGGATTATTTTTGACCATTTTGGGGTAGTGTTGGATTACATATTCAAAATGTCTCTTCCGAAATCCGCCTGTAGGCGGACGTGCCCGACCTGGCGCCAAAAAGGGCGGCGGCGGCGGCGGCGACGACGGCGACGCGGACGACGGTGGCGGCGACGTCGGCGGCGCAGTCGTGAAAGGACGATTTTCAGCAGGTTCGTTGGCGCATTCTGGCCGCCACGGCGGGCCGCGGTGCGAAGAGCTGGCCAGGACTGGCCTCGGGAGGCGACGCTCGCCAGACCTCCGGGGATCGAGGTTGCTGGATGCGCCTCGACATTCAGGCGAGGGGCGATCTTTGACCCCCCGGCCCAGACGTTTCCTCCTCCTCCTCCTCCTCCTCCTCCTGGTGAACATCCTCCACGTGATCCTCCCATCCTGCCGATCCTCCTGATTCTTTCCCTCGCTGCCCATCCTGATCCTCGCAACTCCTCATCCTTGTAAGCAACTTCTCCCTGTCGCACCCCGAGGCCAGTTTTTAGGGCGGTCTAGGCGTTTCGCCTGAGACTTCACCATTCGTGACCCTGAAGCTTAAAGACTTGACAACAGTTTCACAGATGGAGGGCGGGGCGTTTTCAAAATGTGGCTCTCGTCTCAGCGCCGCGCACAATCGCTCTAAACATGTGCGAGAGTTTCACGGGTTGAGGGCGGGTCGTTTTCAACATGTGGCTCTCACATTAGCGCCGCGCACATTCGTTTTACAAGTTTGCAAGGGTTTCTCGGATTGAGGGCGGTTCCTTTTCAATATGTGGTTCTCGCCTTAACGCCGCGCACATTCGTTCTCAATTTTGCACAAGTTTCACGGATGCCCATGATCAGCGTACCAGAAATGTTTTGGACGGATTCAGGATCATAAGGGTGCAACAGCTACCTTGATTGGTGGTGTTGAAGTCCCAGGGATGGTGTTCCAGCACGAGTCAAGATCGTCAAGACGCAACAGTCCGTTTGATCCGTGGCGTTGGAATCCCGAAGACAAGGTTTTGGCATGCTTCAGGGTCCTCTAACGGTTGCCTTCCAACGAGGCAATTCAATTCCTTCAGTGGAAATGAACCATTTGTAGGGGTCTGTGAAGAGGGAACTTTGAGGTAGGGTTTATTCCAACATCACTGATGACTCTTGGGTTTCCACCGGTCTCTTCCCGTCCCCACCCTCCGCCGGAGCCATTTCCGGCCTCCCTGCACCTCTTCCGCTTCCGCCCCCTACTGCAACTCCGTCGATGATGTGGTGTTGGCCGGTGCCGCCGTTTCCGTATCCGTCTCTACAGTGACCTCCCCCTTCAGACCTCGAGCCTCCAAAGACATCAAGGCGGACGGCCTTCGCATTTTTCGGCCCTACGGGGGCCGCTTCCGGGCCCCAGGGCTGGAGGAGGAGGAGGAGGAGGAGGAGGAGGAGGAGGAGGAGGAGGAGGAGGAGGAGGAGGAGGAGGAGGAGGAGGAGGAGGAGGAGGAGGAGGAGGAGGAGAATAGGGAGGCGGAGGAGGGAAGGAGGAGGCGAAGGAGGGGGAGGAGGTGGAGGCGGACGAGGCGGAGGAGGCGGAGGAAGAGGAGGAGGAGGAGGAGCAGGAGGAGCAGGAGGAGGAGAAGCAGCAGGAGGAGGATGCTGAGGAGGAGGAGGAGGAGGAGGATGAGGAGGAGAGGGAGGAGGATAAGGGCCAGAGTGAAGCCAGGATGCACAAATGATGCTTCAACGCACCGTCCGGTTCAAGGCTCTTTCTCAGAAGTTCCTGCAGTTGTTTCCCCTCCAGTGCGTGGATCGCCCCGCCTGGGGCACGAGCCCCCTGGTCGCCTGCCGCTCAGGCGAGACCCCGGTGTGCAAAGGATCCGCTGTTCGTCAGTCGTTCTCGATGAGGCGCAGTCGGGGTTGGACAGACCCCCTACCCTGACACGTCGATTGAGGAATTGGCCGTTTTCGGTTTGCGAGAGGGCGTCGCGGCCGTCATTTTTGCGGGTTGAGGTCCGTCGGTTTCGGTCCCAGGCCGTTTTCACTAAGGGGAGGTTTACTAAAGGAAGGTTTGTCCACCGCCGACGCAGGGCTTGGTGTATTACCGATCTCAACCACTGTTAGCTGGCGACGCGTTTCGGACTCTACAGTGCCGTTTTCAATACATGCTCCGCGTGCGGATCATGTATTAGAAATGCAGGGATTTAGTATTAAAAACAACGATGAGTTAATGCATCAATTCATTCATAAATGAATCATGTGTTTTAATCCTATGTTTTTAAAGATCCTATGTATTAAAACCTGCCCTGTAGATCCTCTTCTGGGCCAACAGGCCGCGGTGTCCCACGCGCGTGCCGTGCATTGCGCGAGCAAGGCAGCAAGAGTGCTTAAGGATGATAACAGGTTCAGGGATGTTCCCAGCGCTAGCACCGTTCGAAAAAGAATCTTCCCTCCCTCCGCGTGAGTGCTGCACCAATTCAAAGCCCCATTTTGAAATGGAGCAGCCGTTCTTCCTCATAAGTTTTGCATTGTGTGGATCTCGGGATCATAGAAGTTGGGGAAGTGCTCACAAACGCCATTATTCTACAACAAATGGCCTCCATCCTTGTAGTCGTGACTTCACAAACGACTGCGCGCTGCATTAAGTCGAAAGCCGTATGCATCTGTTGACATCGAACGGGCTTACATCTCTGCAATTGAAATCGATATGCGCGGCGCTAATGCGAGAGCCTCATAACAAATCGGCCGTCTCCACATCTTGTAATTGTGTGCGGCTATCTGAATGTGCGCGTCGCAAAGACGACAGCCGCTTTTAGGAAACGCGTGGCCAGCCCAGCTCACGGACACGCCTGCTGGTGCGACAGGGGGGGGGGGGGTACGTGTCTATGTTAGCCAGCGTGGACACCAAATAGTTATTTCTTGCAACTTATGCGGTAGACTATAGGTGCATTCTAGGTGGTGTGATCCGTGTGGTGCAGTCTATGTTGCAGATTGAAGCAAAGCAATGCAACGCAATGTAAAACAATGCGCAGCAGTGGAACCCACCGCAAATCACGCAATATAATCGAATGCAGTGCAACGCAACGCAGCGCACAGCAATAACAAGTAGCTCAAACCAACACAAAGCATTGCAGCGCAATGCAACGAACTGTCAACCAATGCAAGCCAATGCGATGCAATGCAACGTACTGCAACGCAATGGAAACCAATGCATCGCAATGCAACTCACGCCAGCGACATCAACGCAGACACACACACACACACAAGGCACACCAGTGCAACACAAGGCAACACAGTGCACGGCTGCGCACATAAAAGCAGTGCTGCTCAAGGTAGGACACGACATCGTAGCGCAATGCCGTGTAAAGTGTCGCGCAGCCCTGCGGTGAGCAGCAATGCAGACCATCGCAGCGCACTGCGGCGGCGAGGCGGCGGGCGGCGACGCCGTGGCGACGGGGCGGGGACGAGGCGGCCACACGGCGGCCAGGCCGCCTCCCAGGCCCCGACCACGGGCGGCGACGAGGCGGCGACGCGACGGCGACGGCGACCTCATAGCCGCCAGACAGGAGGAGGAGGAGGAGGAGGAGGAGGAGGAGGAGGAGGAGGAGGAGGAGGAGGAGGAGGAGAAAAGGAAAAAGGAAAAGGAGGAGGAGGAGGGAGGAGGGAGGAGGGAGGAGGATGGAGGAGGGGAGGAGGAGGAGGAAGAGGAGGAGGAGGAGGAGGAGGGGGGGGGGCCCAGGCGACGGGCGGCGAGGAGGCGGCGACGGGCAGGTGGCAGCGACCACATAGCCATCAGACCGACGCGCAGGCCCAGTTCCTCAGGCATCATAAGGCAGCTCGCCGCGTGGGCCCCGCGGCCAGCCCAGACGTCGAGCAGAAATCGGGCGTAGCCCCGCACGCAGTCCCAAGTCCAGACAGTCTGGGCCACGTCGGCGTGGTCGTGGTCGCCTCTGGTGTCGTCGCGGTGGCGGTCTGGTCGACGTCGTCGTCGCCGTTGTCGCCGTCGCCGTCGCCGTCGCCGTCTTCGTTGTTCGTCTTCGTTCTCATCCTCCTCCTATCCCTCCCCGTCCTCCCCCCCGTCCTCATCCTGTCCCTCCTCGTTCTTCTCGTCCTCGTTCTCTTCGTCGTCCTCGTCCTCGTCGCCGTCCTCCTCGTCCTCGTCCTTCTCCTTGCGCTCCTCCTCGGCTCTTCTTCCGCGTCCTGGTCTTCGGCGTCATCTTCCTTGTCCCCTTCCTCATCCTGCTCCTGGCGCCCCTTCTTCCGTCTCCTCCTCCTCCTCCTTCTCCTTCTCCTCCTCCACTTCCCCGCCCTCCTCGCATTGCCCTCTTCCACGCCGTCGCCTGCCCGCAGAGATTGAGACAGACGCCGATTTGGTGCGCCGTAGGTTTCGCTTTCAGCCATCGGATGCGCTCTCGGCCGCCGAGACTGAAACCGCCTCCTACTGATTGCGACATCGGTTGCACCCTCGGCCGCCGAGAAGAACACCGTTCCCTTGTTGGTTGCCCAATAGGTTGCGCCCTCGGCCGCCGATAATGAATCCGTCGGCGACTGTTTGCGCCATCGGTTGCGCCCTCAACAGCCGAACGTACAACCGTCGCTTATTGACTGCGCCATAGGTTGCGCCCTCGGCCGCCGAGAATAAAACCATCTCCTACTGGTTACGCCACAGGTTGCGCCCTCGGCCGCCGAGAATAAAACTGTCGCCGCTTGGTTGCGCCACAGGCTGCGCCCTCGGCCGCCGAGAATCAAACCGTCGCCGACTGTTTGCGCCATAGGCTGTGCTCTCGGCCGCCGCAAATAGAACCCTCGCCCAGCGGTTGCGCTACAGGCTGCGCCCTCGGCCGTCGAGAACACAACCGTTTCCTACTGTATGCGCCATAGGTTGCGCCCGCGGCCGCCGCAAAGAAAACCGTCGCGTGACGGGTGCGAGCAGTCGTCGCGTGACGGGTGCGATCAGCAAAGAAAACCGTCGCGTGACGGGTGCGAGCAGTCAGTTCAGTTCAGGTCAGTTGCTCGGAGTTCACCTCGCGAGAAGCAAGTTCGGGCTACGCCCGAAAGCAATACCCGAGTGCAAGCGCACTGTCTGGGGAAGAAGGGGGAGGGCTGTGGGAGGATGAGGTGGAGGAGGTGGATGAGGAGGCGGAGGGGGAGGGGGAGGAGGAGGAAGAGGAGGAGGAGGAGGAGGGGGAGGAGAGGAGGAAGAGAAGGAGGAGGAGGAGGAGGGAGGAGGAGAGAGAGGAGGAGGAGGAGGAGGAGAGGAGGAGAGGGAAGGAGAGGAGGAGGAGGAGGAGGGAGGAGGAGGAGGAGGCGGAGGAGAAGGGGGGGGGGGGGGATGACTGATGAAGGTAGGGCCGGGGTGGGTGGAGGGCAGGTGTGCGGGAGAGGCTGGCGCGGGGGAGCGGAGGGCTGCAGCCCCCGCGTGCGCGCCGCCGGAAAATGGGGGGGCGGAGTGAAGGAGGGGACGGGGCATGAGGAGGAGGAGGGGGAGGAGGAGGAGGAGGGAGGAGGAGGAGGAGGGAGGAGGAGGAGGAGGAGGAGGAGGAGGAGGAGGGAGGAGGAGGAGGAGGAAGGGTTCAGGAGGAGGAGGAAGAGAAGGTGGGGCTGGAGCAGGAGGAGGAGGAGCAGGAGGAGGAGGAGGAGGAGGAGGAGGAGGAGGTCCAGGAGGAGGAGGGGGACGAGGAGGAGGAGGGTGAGGAGGAGGAGGAGGAAGCGGAGCAGCGGCAGCAGCAGCAGCAGGATCGGAAGGAGCAGGAGCAAGGGCCCGCGGGTCGCGGCTCGCCATCCTCCGCTTGAATTTCGTGTTGTGAACGCCTCTCCATCATCTGTCTTCCGGGCGGGATCGTTGGCCTCGTTGTACCGAAGGCGTCCACGTCGAACCGCCGCCCCGTGGCCCCAGGGAAAGGCCTGCACGGTGTGATGCCGAGCAGGAGCGCGGCCGCCAGAGCGGGTCGCTTGCTCTCTCGGCTTCTTGGGAAGCCACTGAGGATGGGCCCTCTGGGTCCTTCGTGGGTGTTTCGAGGGCGCCTTCTGCAAGGGCGCCCTCGAGGGCGCGAAGCTATTCGGTCGAAGCCTTCGCGGTTCGGCTCCGATTCCTCTTCATCCTGCTCTCCTCCCCTGGGGAGGCGGCGCGAGAGCGCGAAGTTATTCGCGCTTCGCGCTGCGCGAAGCGTGAAGCTGGGAGCCCTTGCTTCTGATTCTTGGGGGCCTTTTTTGTGGCCTCCCGGTGCACTCTTGGGCCACCTGGGCCCCGTGTGTCAGCTCGTGCTCCCGCCCAGCTGGAGGCCCCAGAGGCCCTTCATAGGGGGCCTGGTGGCAGGGCTGGAGTTAAGCGGTGTTTTGGCGATTTCTTGGGCCGTTTTCGTTTCGACTTCGTTTTGCGGCATTGGCGGATCGAAGGCAAAACGATGGAAAACGAAAAGAAAACGAAAACGAAAAACACCGTTCAGGTTCAGCCCCGGTGCGGGGCCCGGGGCTCTCAGGGCATGCAGAAGTGCCCGACCACCCGGCCCCGCGGGAGGGCGCCCGAACGCGCTGGGGACAGGCCAGAACACGGGGCCCCCGGGCCCGTGATCGATTCGCAGACACCCCAGCGTCTCGCAACAATCGAGGCGGAGGTTTTGCTACTTCTCGGCCTCTCGGGGCCCTTATCGGGCCCTGGGACCTTCAAAGATCCGGACCGCGATGGAGAGCCGCTCCCAGGGAGGTGGTCGAGAGGTCGGGGGCCCGTGTCTCGAAAAAAACAAAACACAGGATGCTTGGATTTGAACAGTACTCAAGACAGTGGATTCGAATGGACCGTTTTTTTTCATCCTCTGGCGCGTAATGGTCGTTGGGTCTGCCGATCCAAAAATAGTCAAACAATAGTATGGGGATTATTTTTGATGTATGTTTGAGCATGTTTTGGGCATGTTTTGAGTATGTTTTATTTTCCGTCCAAAATCCCCCTGTAGGGGGACAGGTCCGACTTAATACCAGTAACGTTCGTACGCTTGGATGGTGGGGGCCCGCCAGTGCTCGCAGGCGCCCTGCTGGCGGTTGCAGGCGCCCTGCCAGAGCTCGCAGGGTTCGCCTCAAGTCGGGCATGTCCCTCTACAGAAGGCTTGTGATGTTCCAACCTATTTTAGCTTCGGTCACCAGAAAGAATTTCGAGCACCAGCAGAAATACCGAAACTCGAGGGGGCGACACTCGCCCGACACTGTTTCGACACTCTTTCGACACTTTTCCGGGTGCTCGAAATTATTTCTGGGATGTGGTCCTTAAGTACGATGGGATCAACATACTTTTACAGTCAGGGGACGATTTTCCCACTATTTCTGCATACTTTTGGATGATTTCTAATTATCCTTCCGAATTCGCCTGTAGGAGGACATGCCCGATCAAGTTTTGCGCAGGTGCCCTACCCCTCCCAAGGCCATCCCAGATGGGGTCCGAGTAAAAAGGGGCGACGAATCGCGCCGCATCGCCGAGGAATCGCCGATGCGGCTCGGCGTTGCGCCCGATCTTCTCCACGCCGACGGCGCCAGTGCATCGCCGACGTCGCCGACGCATCGCTGATACATCACCGATGCATTGGCGATGCATCGGCGACGCGGCGCGATCCCCCGACCCCATCTACTTGGGCCCCATCCAGGAGTCCTTTTTGCACGATTCTCTTAGCAATACTCAAGACAAGTACACCTTAGGCGATGCTTCTAAGAAAACGTAAGTTTTCGGCCAGAGTTTCGATTATTCTTATTGTTTCAATTGAGAACCTACCCTTTTAGTAGAAATTTGTTTTTTTCTTGAAATTCTGAGGCTATGAATTTCTCATCCCATGATTTCTTAAGCATTTCGCAGGGTGTAGATTCGAAGGGGCCCGAGGGTACTCCACTCAGTGCCTACGGCGCGGTGGCGGATCGACGTCGGCCTTCGGTCAATTTGGGGTCCCGTCAACCAGCTTGAGGGCCACACGACCGTTAGCCTGTGAGGCCGAGAGAGTCCATCCACACACTTGCGCTGCCCGCGTGATGTTCTCTTGCTCAAGATGTGCTTATCATATAGTTGTCTGCTGTCTCCGAATGCTCGTCCTCTCTGTGCCTACTCCTAGCGGGTGGCCAGGGCGCCCAATTTTGCCGCCATGCTCGGCAGCCATTGACAGGCGGAGCTGGAGAAGGAGGACGAGGAGGAGGAGGAGGAGGAGGAAGAGGAGGGGGAGGGGGAGTACGGACGGGGCGGGGGAGGGTGTGGAGGAGGACGGTGGGGAGGAGGAAGGAGCAGCAGTCCTGGGCCGGGTAAGATGTGGTCGGAGCATCGCGTCGCATCGCCGATGTGGAGCTATCCACATCTTCGCATCTCCGAGGCATCGGCGATGCGGCTCGATGCTCCGGCCACCATCAGATTTGGCCCCATGTGTGAGGCGTCCACGTCGGAGCGCTGGAGGAGCGCAGAGAGGCGGGGTTGGGCAGGTCAACGACGAGACCCGCGAGCTTTTCCGCCTGCTGTTCGAGGGGTGCGGTGAGGGCGATATCAGGACCGCCCGGGTTTGGCTCGAGGGGGGGGGAGGGAAGGGGCAGAGGAGCGAGGAGTCCTCCGCCCCCCTCCTGATCATGCTGCCTCCGGTTCCCTCTTCGCGTGGGCCGCCCTTGGGAGCCAGGACTGGAGGCCCCGCTCAAAGCGCGCACCACTCCACCCGACGACGACGGACGACGACTGACCAAGACTCAGGACGACGGACGACGACGAGTGACGATGATCGACCACGACGGCGGACGGCGACGCCGATCACGGCGACGTGCGGCGACGCACGACGCCGACGACGGACGGCGAAGATGAGGAGCAGGACGAAAAGGAGGAGGAGGAAGAGGAGGAGGAGCAAGAGGAGGAGGAGGAGGAGGGAGGAGGGAGGAGGAGAAGGAGGAGAAGGAGGATCAGGAGGAGGAGGAACAGGAGGAGGAGGAGGTGGAGGAGGAGGAGGTGGATGAGGAAGAGGAGGAGGAGGAGGAGGAGGAGGAGGAGGAGGTGGAGGAGGAGGAGGTGGATGATGATGATGATGATGAGGAGGAGGAGGAGTAGGAGGAGGAGGAGGAGGAGGAGGAGGAGTTGGAGGAGGAGGCGACGACGAGCAGGAGGACGCACGATGGCGAGGTCGCAGCGGCGGCCGCCCGGCAGGCCCTCTAACCTTGCGGCGCTCCTGGACGCCTCCTGCGGCAGGGGCGTGGCACCGGAGGCGCGTCCGCCGTCGTCCTCGTCGTCGTCGTCGTCGTCGTCGTCGCCGCCGCCGCCGTCGTCGTGTTCGTCGTCGTCGTCGTCGTCGCCGTCTTCGTCGTCGCCATCGTCGTCGTCGTCGACTTCGTCGTTCCTCGCCTACTGCTGTCCTCCACCTCGTCTCTGCTGCTGCCCCACCTCCTTCTCTTCCTCCTCCCCCCCTGTTCTTCCCGCCATCGAGAGTCTCGGATCGGGGCTCAAGTTCCGATGCCTGTTCAAGTTTTTTTGGCATTCTTCGGGCCTCCAAAGGCCTCTGGTGGGGCCGAGGCCTCTGGTGGATGTCAGTGCCCGTGTCGCCGCCGCGCTCAGTCCCCTCGCCGCCGCCGTCGTCATGTCGCCAGCGGCGGCTGCGGCGGCGTCGTCGTTGTCGTCGCCGTCGCCGTCGCCGTCGCCGTTGTCCTCACTCCTCCTCCTCCTCCTCCTCCTCCTCCTCCTCCTCCTCCTCCTACTCGTCCTCCATTCTTCTCCACCCCAGGCCCCAAGGGCAACATTGGACACGCCAGGGCTGCGTGAAATGTTGTCCTCGGGACGTCGGCGGACAAGAGGACTCCTCAGGCCAGTTCGGGGCCCCCCTTGGGGGCGGAACGCACTTTGAAGTCACTGCTGCTGAACAGTTCTATGACCTCGGAGGCGATCACGACAAGCCCTAGGATCGCCCAGGAGCGCCCAGAACTCCCTGGAGCTCGGAGGCCTGGCCCCTCGAGAACTGTGCGGCGCTCGCCGCAGAGAGGTCGAAGCTGACCTGCGGGCGCTCCGCGCCGTGCCTGGCGGCACGAGGGCGGATCACCCGAGACGTCGAGGCGCCCCGCGTGCCCGGGCCACGGGCACACGGTTCGTTTCCCCCCTTCCGAGGCATGGCGGTCCGCAGGAATCAACGGAGCTCAGACGCGGGGGGAGGGAGGAGGAGGAGGAGGAGGAGGAGGAGGAGGAGGAGGAGGAGGAGGAGGAGCAGGAGGAGGAGGAGCAGGAGGAGGAGCAGGAGGAGGAGCAGGAGGAGGAGCAGGAGGAGTTGGAGGAGGGTTCCGTACTTGCCCGGCCATTGGGCAAGGGGAGTGGCAAAGCCTGCGGAAGGCGCGAGGGCAGCTCGGTCATTCCGCATCCCGGCAGGGTTTGTTCCTAACATTTCACGGGGCTGTCTCACCACATGTTCCACAGATTTGAGAGCGATTTTATGCGCGCATCACTCGGATAAATTCTCTTGCGCAGCCTTGTTCTAGAGCTTGGAGCCCTTTGTTTTCGAGGTGGTCAACGTTCGCCCCGCCTTCCCTGGCCAGACCCCTCGCTCTCCCTGGCCCCAGAGTCCTTTTTTTCCGTGGTGGCCGACTGTTTCGCACGAGTCCCCAAAAGGATAAGAATTGGCCGGTCAATCGGATCAGCGCGTCTCGTCCACTTCTGTGACCTTGCGGAAAACGAGGTCGCGCATCACTGATAAGCGTATCAATTTGTTGTCACGCGCCCCCGTGCTTCTTGAACCTTTCGAAAGCATCTGGAGATACGGGAACAAGTCCTCCTCCTCTTCCGAACAAAACACCTGAGAGCATACAGTGCCCGCCTTGTGCCTGCTCGCCTTACGACGCCTGAGTGCGCTAGCGATTGTGAGGACGACGACCATGACGACGGCCACGACGTCGATGACGATGACGACGACCCCACGGTGGTCCCCTGAGGTCCTCAGTGGTCTCCGAGGGCCCCCCGAGTGCAGTCGAAGCATCTGTTAAGGGTGGGTACCCTTCCCACGGGCACCCTTGCATCCGAGCATCTGTGGTTCATCCTTGACTACTTCCGATGGCCCGCCCCGCTCGAAAAGCTTCGACATACGCGTCCAAGGGTCTTGCATCCTTACCGCGCATCCTTACCATCAGTCTTGACTGTACCTCTCTTGAGGCGGCGCCTCTGGAGGTATCTGGAGGCGCAGGATGCGCAGAGAGTTCCGTAGACCCCAAAAACGTCACCAACGTCGTCGACAATGCCCCCGACGTCCCCGAACATCGCACGCTTTTTGTGATTTGCCATACAACACGTGTGACGATTGTTTGTCATGCAAGACGTGTGATGTTTCATGTTGCACCGCCGCGGCCGCGACAGCGACCACGGCGGCGACCATGATGACGTCGACGACCGCGTCGAGCGATCACCACGTTGGCGACGACCACGACGGCGAGCGGCCACGACGACGGCGACGGCGGCGATGGCGCCGACGACGCCGACGACGGCGCCGACGCCCAGCGGTGGCGACGCCGGGTCGCGGCGCGTCGCCGACGTCGACGCATGCGGGCGACGGCGGCCCTCGGAGAGGTGCAGTCGCTGCCCGTGGCCGGCGCGCACTGCGGCTACGCAGGGGGCATGGGCGCCAGCCTCGGGCGGGCGGGGCGCGGTGTCGTTTGACCGATCGCTATCCTCATCCCAATCACCAAGGCGAAGCCAGGGCGTGGAGGAGATCGGGATAAGGACACGGGAGGAGCGCTTTTGGTTCCATCGGGGGCGTCTCGAGTCTCGCCCACGAATGGTGGGGTGCAATCTGCTTCTGCCCTCGGGGCCGAAACACTATGCTGCGGTGCACGGGCGCCTTTCTCGTATGAGGGCCAGGCGAGGGGGGGGGAGGATAGCATGGCCGGGGCCATGAGATTCCCCGATTCTCGATTCCGAGGCCCTTTCTTCTTCTCCCATGACTTTCCCTGGCCCCCCCTGCGTCCGCGCACGTGCCTCGGGCCATGGGGCCGTCACGGCCCTCTTCCTGGCCCCTCCTTCCGCGCGCGCCCGAGCTCCGCTCGTGCGGGGCCAAGTTCTGGAATGGGTCGTGGGTTGTCGGTCGCCAGTCGCCGCAGTCGGTCGCCGTCGCCGTTTCTCGAAGAGGGCGACGGTGGCGACGCCGGCGATGACGGCTGACGACGGTCTCCAACGACGGGTACCAACGTCGACAGCCCATGCGGCCATGACAACGAACGACGATGACCAGTGGGGAAACAGCAGTACACCTTAGGCGATGCTTAAGAAAACTTAAGTTTTCGGCCAGAGTCTCGATTATTCTTAACGTTTCAATGTAAATCTTAAGATTTGAATAGAAATGTTGGATTTTTATTCAAGTTCTGAGACTATGAATTTCTTAACCCATGATTTCTTAAGCATTTCGCAGGGTGTATGTACACGTGCCCTCTCGGAGATCCGCGCGGGTGGTTCCTTGGTCGGCGCCAGACGCCCCCCCCTCCCCTGGCGCACGACGCGCGCCGTGCTTCGGTGCCCGGAGCGCCGGCCGGGGTGGGCCCAGCGCCGACCCAACAGGTTCGCGTGGGTTTCCGAAATTTTGTGTCAATGTGGTCTTTGTTGTTCTGATCGTCGTCGTTCGTCGTCGTCGTTGTCGTCGTTTGTCGACCTTGTTGCCGTTGACTTCGTTGTCGCTGGGCGTCGTCACTGGGCGTCTTCGTTGAGGGTTGCCGTTGTGATCGTGGTGGTGATATTCGCCGTCGTCGTCGTCGTCGTCGTCGTCGTCGTCGTTGTGTTCGTGGTGGTAGTCATCGTCATCGTTTGACATCGTCGTTGTCGCTGCCATTCGTTGCTCTTCGCCGTGGTCGTCGTTGAGTGTGAGGTTATTAAGAATAGTTGTTGCTGGTCTACATACGCGCGGCGGAGCACTCTCGCTTCGACGCTGGGTGCATTTTCTATGGAAACGCTCCCGCTCTATCGCGGGGTTGGTTCCCAATGTGGTTTGTAAGAGAGTGTTTTTTGTCGGTCAGAGTGAGGCGGCTGAACCGAACGGTCATTCACTGTCCCTGGGTGCGTGGCTGAAGTGGAATTCCGCGATGCGGATTCTTGTTGTTGTTGTTGTTGCTGTTGTTGTTTGTTGTTGTTTGTTGTTGTTTGTTGTTTGTTGTTTGTTGTTTTGTGTCTGATGTTTGTTGTTTGTTGTTTGTTGTTGTCGTCGTCCCACCCGCGACCCGCCCCGCGACCCACCCCGAGACCCTCCCGGCGACCCACCCCGCGACCCACCGGCGACTCACCCGCGACCCACCCGCGATCCACCCCGCGACCCACCCCGCGACCCACCCCGCGACCCACCCCGCGACCCACCGCGACCCACCCGCGACCCACCCGCGACCCACCCCGCGACCCACCCAACGTGTTTGCGCTTGCGGCGGGTTTTTTTGCATTCGCTCCAGGTGGAGAACCTGCGACCCACCCGCGACCCAAACCGCGCCCGCGACCCACCAGCGACCCCCGCGACCCACCCGCGACCCACCTCGCGACCCACCCAAAATGTTCGGCGCCTGCGGCGTTTTTTTTGCATTCGTTCCAGGTGAAGAACCTGCGACCCACCCGCGACCCAAACCGCGTTCAGTGTACAACTCAAAATTTTCGGCGCATGCGGCGGGCTGTTTTTGAATTCCTTCCAGGTGGAGTTGGAGAGCCCGCGACCCACCCGCGACCCAAACTACGTTCACTGAACAAGCCAAAACTTCGGCGACTGCGGCGGGTTTCCTTTGCATTCGTTCCAGGTGGAGAACATGCGACCCAAACGGCGTTCAGTTTACACATCAAAAAATTCGGCGCCTGCGGCGGGCTGTTTTTGAATTCCTTCCAGGTGGAGGTGGAGAGCCCGCGACCCACCCGCGACCCAAAGTACGTTTACTGAACACGCCAAAACTTCGGGGCCTGCGGTGGGTTTTCTTGTGTATTCGTTCCAAACGGAGGAGGAAACGGAGGAAGGGGAGGAGGAGGAGAAGGAAAAGGAGGAAGAGGAGGAAAAGGAGGAAGAGCAGGAGGAGGTGGAGGAGGAGGAGGCGGACGACGACGACCACGACGATGAGGATGAGGACGCGGACGAGGAGGAGGAGGAGGAGGAGGTGGGAGGAGGAGGAGGAGGAGGAGGAGGAGGAAAAGGGCGCCATCAACAGGGAAGGTGAGGGCCACGAGGTCCGCCAGCTCGACGCCTGCGTCGCCTGCGCCCGCCCCCTATCCGCAATTGCGGGGTGCTACGTAGTTTGTTTGAACACTCTGGGCCATACCGGGCGTTATGCCCCCCCATTCCCCCCCCCCCTCCCCCCGATAATGTAACGCTCCGCCCCATCCCCACCAGTACGTCAACTCATTGCCGCAGTACGTGGTGCCAGACCCACACGGCGGCGGGGGGGGGGCGTCACGACATGCCACCCCGCGACTTTCCTTCCAAACGCGCGTTACCTCGGCTGGATGGCGATGGGGGGATCAGGACATGGGGGGATGAGTATCCGGTACCGTTTTGTTGGTGTACATTCTGCGGGTTGCAAGTGCAAATTGTACCCTCTCCCCCCCGTTAACATCCTCGCACATGTCGCGGACGTTGTCAAAAGTACAATTTGTACCTTGTCTGCGTGACGTCGGTACAAAGTGTACCTTCTCCGTGGGGCGTAGGTACAATTTGTACCTCGGTTGCGCCTGTCTCCCCCCCTGGACTTATCCCCCCATTTGCATACCGCCAATTACCACCGCGGACGAACATATTCGTAGGAATGCCGAACTACGACGACAACGGCTCCAGTTAGATCCTTCCTGGCAATTTGCTCCGACACGCCCTGGCCAGGGAGGCCCTGAGACTCAAGAAACACGCTCTCGTGCGAGACTTCATCGTAATGTGCTCAAGTTGATTTAGGCCTAACTGGGACACAAACGGCTCCCGTTCGATACATCCTCGCAACTGGCTCCGAGGCGCCTTGGCCAGAGAGGTCCCCAATCTCACTGCGCCCTCGCCCGAGAGTTCCTTGGCCCATCTACGACGACAGCGGCTCCCTCTGGAGACTTCCTCGTACTTTGCTCGCGTGCGCCCTGGTCATGTGTATCGTGAAGGCCTCTCGGCTGTTGCCGCCGACCCTGGAGGCGGAACGTCCCCTGGGGCCCCGTGGTCCTCGGCCGGGGCCACGGCCCCGGCCACGGCCACGGCCACGCGACGGCCGGTGCCGGGGCCAGGGCGGGGGCCAGGGCTGGGGTTAGGGCCAGGACCACGGCGGGCCCCCCCACCCCCCCACGGACACGGAGGGGGCCCCTCCCTGCCCCCCCTGTCCACAGGTCGGACCGCTCCCCGGGAAGCCGCCGTGTCCCCCGGGGGGCGGTAGTCTGACCCTGGACCCCCCCACCAACTGATCCCCCCTATCGGCCCCCCTCCGTAGCCCCCCCTATACCCCCTTACCCCTTACCCCCCTACCCCCCTACCCCCTTACCCCTTACCCCCCCTCCCTCCAGGAAAGAGCAACAAAGAAGGGGATCGAGTCAACTACTACTTGTGTGGTTTCTCGGTTCGTGCCTCGTCTTTCTTGGCACTGGCGACGGCGACAGCGAAGCCGACAGCGTCCCCCACACGCGCCGAAGGGTCGGCGGCTCTGCCCGCGTGCGCTCTCCGGCCATACGTGCTGTCGCACCGGCGGGGGCGCATGGCGCTCTCCCGCTGGCTAGTTCCTCGCAGCCGGCAGTAGCTTCGGGACGGACGAAAGGGGGGGATCTGGACGCCCGAAATGGGTACCGAAAGAATGGGTAAAATGCCCAACAACAATTCCTGTTCATTTTGAACAGGACTCGCTGTCCGCGCCGCCGCAGCCTGTGTCCATTCGAGACAGAAGGTCGCCTGCCCAACAGCGGCCGCTGTTGGCTTGGGACAACATTTGTTGTTGGGCAAGTGCCCATTCTTTCAGTACCCATTTCGGGCGTCCAAAGGGGATAGGGAAAGGGGGGGTTACGAAATCTGCTGCACGCAGCCGGTTTCGGCCCCACCGAGGGGCCCCTTCCTCGACACATGGGCGCCTCCCGGCGCCCAGATCGGCCCTGGGAAGATCAGCTGCGCGAGCTGATGCTCAACCCCCCCCTTTGCTATCCCCCCCTTCGCCCGGCCCGATAGGTGGTGAAAGCCCAGCTGTGACGACACCAGTCAGGAGGGAGAGAGACACACAGACACAATTAATCGTCGATTCCCCAGAAAATATGGGAACCTGTGGGAAGTGGGGGGGAAGACAAACACCCCAAAAATATAGGAACATATAGGGAATCCTGTGATTTGTGTGTACTCATTTGTGTGTCCCAGGGCCCCAGCTGTGACGACAGCAGCTCCCGCTCGATCCTCCCTGCAGGTCACGCTGGGCCGCCCGGGAGGCCCTCCAAGCACGCACGCAGCAGGGCAGGCTGCCAGCGGGCGCCGCTGGCTCGCGTGAAGGGCCACGCTGGCGCGGTGTGCGCACGGGGGAGTGCACCGCGGAGGGCTTCTCGCAGGAGCTGGTATGATCGGGTCGGGCGAAAGGGGGGGATTGGGAAAGGGGGGGGTACGAAATTTGCTGCATGCAGCTGGTTTCGGCCTCACCGAGGGGCCCAGTCCTCGATACATAGCCGCCTCCGGCGCCGGGAGGCGCCGGGAAAATCAGCTACGTGAGCTGATTCTCAACCCCCCGCTTTGCTATCCCCCACTTTCGCCCGACCCGATATGACGAAGGGGGGGACTTGAAAGACGCAGCGGGCGGGTACTTTTTTGATCCGCGGGTCGAGAGCGAGCCTCTTCCGGTCGAAGCGGAGCGGGCCGCGCACAGCTGTCATCGACAGAGGAGGGAGAGCAGAAGGAGGGGCCACACGTCAAGGCCAAGAGAGGGCAGAGCCCCGGAAACAGGCGGTGCCGAAGGCGAAGTGCATATCATGCAGCGGGCGGGTACACGGGAGGGGGAGAAGCCCTTTAACAAAAACAAGCCAGAGAAGCCCAGCGGCGAAGGGCCAGGGGGACACGGCGTACGAGGAGACGACACGACGCACATGCAGGCCAAAGCAGCTTGTGAGATGTCATGGGCGCAAGGGTGGTCACTGGCGTTGTCGTCGTCGATCGTCGTCGTCTCAGCCTCCGTGTCTCGTTGTCGTGTCTGTGGCCTCCGCTGGACGAGGAGGGGTGATGTCAGGAGGGAAAGAAACACACAGACACAATTAATCGTCGACTCCCAGGAAAATATGCAAAAATATGGGAAGTGGTGGGGAAGCCAAACAACCAGAAAATATGGGAAAATATGGGGGATATTTTTATTTGTGTATATTTATTTGTGTGTTCCAGTTCCCCTTCATGATGGGCGGAGGGTGATGATGATGAGGATGCGGTCTCTGCCCTTCCCCTCTGCCCTTTTTGTCGCCAGCCCGCCTGCCTCTTCTGCCACCCTCGCCCCCCTCTCTGGGAGGAGGAGGAGGAGGAGGAGGAGGAGGAGGAGGAGGAGGAGGAGGAGGAGGACGAGGAGGAGGAGGAGGAGGAGGAGGAGGAGGAGGAGGAGGAGGAGGAGGAGGAGGACGAGGAGAGAAAGACGAGGGCTGACGAGGAAACACGTGACGAGGAGTAACGGGACGAGGAGCAGCAGGAGCGAGAATTGAGGGAGGAGGAGGGGGGCAGGAACGGCGAGGGATGAGGGTTGCGGGAGGACGCGGGACCGTCCATCTTCTCTGCCTTCCTTCCGCTCTTCCTTTTTCTTTCCTCTCTCCTTCCTCCTCTCTTCTCCTTCCTTCCTTTTTCCTTTCTTCCTTCCTCCTCTCTTCATCCTCTCTTCCTTTTTCCTCTCTTCCTTCCTTCCTCTCTTCCTTTTCTTTCCTTCCTTCCTCTCTTCCTTCCTTCCTCTCTTTCCTTCCTTCCTTCCTCTCTTCCTTTTTTTCCGCCCCCTCCCCTCTCCTAGCACGGCGGCCACGACGAAGTTGATTGCGCAGACGAAGACGCCCACGACGAAAACGGCGTCGGCGATGGGCGGGGAAAGCCACGGCCACGTCCACGGCGTCGATGGCAACGGCAACGGCGATGACGAAGATGGCAACTGCGACGACCACGACTACGACGACGACGACCCTATCTGCTCAAACCGATCCCAGGATCCTGACGCGGTTTCCGAGCCGCGTCCAGCCATTTCGACGACGACCCCTTCCCCTGAGGCCTAGAGGAGGAGGAGGAGGAAGAGGGGGAGGAGGGGGAGGAGGACGGGGAGGACTTGGATCGGTCAGTCTAGGGAAGGAGATAATGGCGATGCGATTCGGATGGCTCGAGGAGAGTTCTGGAGCGCTCCGGAAAGCGCGCGGCGCTCGATTCGATCTCCAGACTTGGCAGCTCTCACAGATCCCGAGCTCTCCGTACGCTTTTGTGTGCGCTTCCTGCCGTCACCGCCTTGGGAAACCACGACCCCGGTTTTGTCCCGGGGCGCCCTCTGTCAAACATTTCGAGGCGCATCCAGCCGTGGTGCCCCGTGGCAGCCACCGCATCTTCAGAAACCCCATGGCCAACAACGCTCCGATCGTCGAAGCCCCGATCCTCCACGACCACCACCGCCACGACGACGGCGACGGCGGCGGCCCCGGCGGCCCTGGCGGCAACGACGAGGCCCCGAGACCATCGACCGGCAGCTGCGTGAGATCGCAGTCGTGCTCGAAGGCGCGCGCGCGCGCCTGCTCGCGGTCGCCGGTTGCGTCCTCGCCGTCGTCGTCGCCGTCGTCGTCGTCGTCGTCGTCGTCGTCGTCGTCGTGGCTTGAGGCTTGAGGCTTGAAGCTTGAGGCTCGAGTTCGATCGCTGTCGTCGATGTCGTCGTCGCCGCGTCGCTCGACGCGGTCGACGTCGCTCGAGTTCCGCTCGCTCGCCGCCCTCGCTGCTCGAGGTGCGGTGGCCGTCGCCCACGGATCAGGGGCCACCTGCGAACCCCACCCCTGCCCTTATTCAGGAGGGGAAAAAACACACAGACACAATTAATCCTCGATCCCCCAGAAAATATGAGAAAATATGGGCAGTGGGGGGGAAGACAAACACCCAGAAAATATGGGAAAATATGGGGAATCTTTTGATTTGTGTGTAGTTATTTGTGTGTCTTGGGGCCCCTTCACTTATGTCGGGCCTGTCCTTCTACAGGGGGAATGTTCAAAAATAGTCAACAAAATAGTCTGGGGACTATTTTTTGACCGTTTTTGACCATTTGGGAGCTTTTTAAAAGCATTTCTAAGTTTTCGTCCAAAATCCCACTGTAAGGGGACAGGCCCGACTTAACCCTACCCCCCACGAGTTCTGAGGAGGGTGGGGTTGACTTCGTTCGGGAGCTCCCGAGCGAAGCGAACCCCACCCCCCCCTCAGACATCGTGGGGGGGAGAGGTCGGGTTCGCGGGTGGCTTCCTATAACGGACGTTTCTGGGAATCTCCGGGGAACACGGGGGACCGGCGCAGCTTTCCAGGGAACCGCTGCGGACGTCCGAGGATTTCCCGGGGGGCTCCTTTGGGCTCGTCGGCGTCGGCACCGCCGTCTGCATCGTCCGCAGCGGTTCTCAGCAACGGGGATGTAGATCATGCGCATGGGTTCGGCTGGCGAACGAGAAATGATACAGTCATGAACTTTTCGGAGTTTCGCGCGAGTTTCTAAGATCGGCGCTGGAACCATCTGGCGGCGCTTCTGGTGCCTCAAGAAATCCGCGCGGACTTCGGACAAGCTGTATTTCAGAGCTCAATCTAACGCTGTTTTGGCGATTTCGTGGACCCTTTTCGTTTTGATTTCGTTTCGCAGCAAAGGTGGAACGACGACAGAGCGACGGAAAACGACATAAAGAAAGACACTCTTTAGCTCGCACCCTGCTGATCGTGTTCATGTCGTTGTTCGTTCCATGACTTGGGGTGCGGAGCGGGATTCTTTCAGGAGGGGGAAAAACACACAGACACAATTAATCGTCGACTCCCCAGAAAATATGGGAAAATATGGGAAGTGGTGGGGAAGACAAAAACCCCAAAAATATAGGAAAATATGGGGGATCCTTTTATTTGTGTGTATTTATTTGTGTGTCCCAGGGCCCCTTCATCTTGGTGGCCAGGGAGGCAGAGATTTGGGACTGCGGGTCCGTCCTCAGTCCAGAGCTTCTTTTAGGATTGGACCGGGTGGTCCCCTTTTGCTTCACAGTCGTGTGGCGTCCCGCTTCTGCTTCACAGTCGAGTCCTCCTTCCCTCCCTCCCTCCCTCCCTCCCCTCCCCCACCCACTCCCCCCCTCCCCCCTCCCCCCCCCCCTCCCCCCCCCCCCCCTCAACCCCCCTCCCCCACACACACAACACACCCCCCCCCTTCCCCCATCTCCTCACCCTTCCCACCCTGCACCCCCCTCCCCTCAGCCGGTTGTAAAGTTGTCTTCTTGGTTGTTCCGCAAGAGCTTGCCAACGCCACTCTGCTGTCACGCGTCCTCCAGGTACGCTCGATCATCGGTTTGTGGTGTGGACACGTATCGAGCCTTGTATACAGGGCACAAGGAACAAGGCACAAGGAATGCTGACATACAAAAACCGAAGACGCCCCTACGGCATCACCGCCGTCCCCTGCCTTTCCTGTGTAGCCAAACGTTTGGGCATACTTTGGCCACATTATCGGTCCGTGCGTTCCCCCAGCCGATGTGGAAGCCATTCGGGGAATACGTGGGGGAGGAAGAGGAGGATGAGGAGAGGGGGGAGGAGGAGGAGGGGGAGAAGGAGGAGGAGGAGGAGGAGAGGAAGGAGGAGGAGGAGGAGGAAGGAGGTAGGAAGGAGGACGTTAGGATGAGAGGAGGAGGAGGAGTAGGAGGAGGGAGGAGGAGGACGGAGGAGGAAAGAGGAGGAGGAGGAGGAGGAGGAGGAGGAGAGGGAGGAACATGATGGACGAGGAGAGTGGTGAAGAGAACTCTGCAGAGCCTCCGGGGTCACTGTTGGGCCCTCCCGGGAGCTTTCTAGGGGCCTCCTGGAGGCCTTTTTGGGGCCTCCTTGGGCCTCTTGGAGGCCTTTGGGGTTTCTTGGGACGCCTCCTGGGCGGCCCTCGTCGCTACCTGGATTCGCCTCGAAGTCCTGATCAGAACGCGCCCCGGGAGAGGTCCAGGGAGTAGCGGTACCGGTACCTTTTGGTGGTTTCCCCAGGGGTTTTGGGCTCGAGCAGGTCTTTCCGCCTGGGGCCATTTCCAGGCCCCGTGACCGTCCACAACGGATCTTGGGCGAAGCATTGCACTGGATATGGGAAGGGTCTGGAGACCGATGTTGCGCGGAGTGTGGCTTCCCCATTTCCAGGGCCCCCCCCCCTTCGCCCGACCCGCTGCCACCCCCCTCCCCTCTCGGAAGGCCACCCGGACACGGTCTGGATCGACATGG